GAGGAATCAGCAAATGATTATGGAACCTGAGAAGTCCCATGGTTTGCCATCTGCAAGCTGGAGAATCAGGGAAGCTGGTAATGTAATTATAGTCTTTAGATAATAAAGTCTTACCTTTCACTCCTGCTTCCAGTTCCACTTGTCCTACACAGACAAGGAGCGCTAATGTTTTTGCAGTGGCTGGTACCAGTTGTTCCTTTCCATGTTTAGTGCTTCCTTCAGGAGCTCTTGTAAGGCAGGCCTAGTGGTGACAAAATCTCCAGCAGCAACGTCAAATATTTTTAAACAATTCAAAAATTAGACTTCTAAAGGAGATTTTTATTTACCTATTATTATCCGGCACTTCTGCACCAATATTATGAAGTAGATATTATTTCTTCTATTTTACAGACGAAGAAACAGATTGAGAATGTCTGATTTTGCAAAGTGATTTTCTATTAAGTGATAGACATGAGACTTAAACCCAGAAATTTTGACCCCATATCCTTTTTTTCAACTCAGTCTACCCTTTGGCACAGATAGAATAAATGCTTTCAGGTTCATATTACTTTTGAAGATCATTGGTATATATTTTGCAAGATTAGCAAAATATGGCACTATTGCAGCAACAAGCTCCATACCAGACTAAAAAAGTATTCAATAGTGAGAATATCTAAATTTCCACCTATTTACATGATTAGAATATGCAGACAATGTTACAAGCAGTCTCATCCAGCTTCTCCAAGGGTGTTATCAGTGTCATCTATGAAAACTCTTGCAACTTGATAAGCATGGTTAATTATCAACAGGGCCCTGGCAAAAATATGTTACACATCTGTATGCAGCATCATATTATGAATCAATGGAAAGGGACAAGTATTGAAATCAGATGAATTGAGTTTGAAGTCCAACATTGCCACTTGTTAGTTGATTGAGTGCAACTTTAGGCAAGTTACTTAATCTCTCTGTTTTATTTTCTTTATAAAACAATACACATATCTCATGCTTTTGATGATTGAGATAAAAGCCAGATTATTGAAATAATTATCCAGAGAACATTTTAAGACAAAGTGGTACCTGAGCTTCAAGGGTAGGTAACAAATAATTTCATTAAAGTAGTTATTGTTGTTGGTTTTAATCTTTTCTATTAACCTTAGATAATAAAGTCTTACCTTTCACTCCTGCTTCCAGTTCCACTTGTCCTACACAGACAAGGAGCGCTATGAAAATGAAGAGAGACCTGAGGTCCAGAAGCAGATGCTTGTTGATATGGCCAAAAAGCTACCGGTTTACACAAGAACTGGAAGTGGAGGTCAGTTCATTCAAAGGCAGCTAGAGAGGCAGCTCAGCAAGTATCTCAGAAAGGCTAAGTCATATATGTTCTCAAACTAGCCCCTTTTTTATCCTCCCATCTTCTGAAAACCACTATGGAGATTTTTCTCTACATTTTATTTTTTTAAAATTTTAAACACATATCAAAGCTGGAAGAATTGTATAGTAAACACTTGTATACCCCAAACTGGATTCTACTGCTAACATTTTTCTGTGTTGCTTTATCACATATCTGTCCACATATGCATATCTCTATCTTTCGTCAAGCCATCTTATTTTTCTGATACATTTCAAAGTAAATAGCTGACATCAGTAAGATATCTACCTAAATATTTTATTCTGTTTTGGTAAAATGTACATACAAACACATGCATAATCTTAAGTGTACAATTCCATGTGTTTTGAAAACTGTACACATCTGTGTAACTAAACCCCCAATAAAATTGCCATCACCTCAGAAAGTTCCGTCATGCCTCATTTCCAGTCAATCCCACCCCACCCTACTCCCCACAGACAACCACTATTCTGATAGCTTTTCACTATAAATTAGTTTTGTCTGCTCTCAAATTTTTTTTAATTGGAATCACAGAGTATATACTCTTGCATCTGCCTTCTTGTTATTCAACATAATGTTTGTAAGATTCATCCATCTTTTTTGTGTATTTTTTTATTGCTGAGTAGCATTACATTGTATGAATGTATCAAAGTTTATCCATTCACTAGTTGATACATATTTGGGTTCTTTCTAGTGTTTAGTTATTATGAGTGAATCTGCTATGAATTTTACTGTATAAGGATCTGTGCAAAGACATATCTTCCTTTTTCTTTAGTAAATATCCAATACAGAATTTTACTCTTAGGTTTCATCTGCATGACTAAAACAGTACTTGCTGAACTAATTCTCCACCTTTTAAATTTTGAAAACCTACAGAGTTATGGGGAATATGTTAAAAAGTTTGAAAACCATAGTTCTTCTGATATGTCATCCTAATGTTTCTAATAAGGATAATTTTATTTCACATTTCAAGGCTTTAGAAAGTTTACTCTCAGACACATATTCATTTGTTCATCATTTATTCAGCAAATATTTATTAAGATATATGGCAATTGGGGAAATTTTACTATGTTCTTGGTATTATATGATATTAAGGACTTGCTGTTAATTTTGTTAGAGCAATAATATAGTGGTTATGATTTTTAAAAATCTTCATGCATATGGAAATATTTATGGTTTGAAGTGACACAGTGTTTGGGATTTGTTTGAAATGATCAAGTAAAAAGCCAGTTGAAGAGATAGGTGAAACAAAAATGACACAGTGTTGATAATTGTTGAATTTGGGTAATGGTACTTACCATGGTACCTTTGCTACTGACTATTCGCTGGAACCTTGAGGTATTTGCAGCTCCCGGGATAGGCAATAATAGGAAAGGCTTCTCTGAGGAAATACCATTTGAAGACTTAAATGATAAGGATTTAGCCATGTGTATTAGTCAGCGTTCTCCAGATAAATAGAGCCAATAGAATTATGTGTATGTGTGTGTGTGTGTGTGTGTGTGTTGTGTGTGTGTGTGTAGACATATATACAGAGAGAGAGAGAGAGAAATTATGAGGAATCAGCAAATGATTATGGAACCTGAGAAGTCCCATGGTTTGCCATCTGCAAGCTGGAGAATCAGGGAAGCTGGTAATGTAATTATAGTCTGAATTAAATGGTTTGAGAACCAGTAGTGCTGATGGTGTAAGCCCCAATCTCATGGCAGAAAACTGATGTCCCAGCTCATGCAGTCAGGCAAGAAGAGTAAATTCTCTCATCCTCTACATTTTTGTTCTGTTCAGGTCCTCAAAGGATTGGATGAGGCCCACCTGCATTGGAGAAGACAGTCTGCTTTGCACAGTCTAGATTTGAATGCTAATCTCACCCAGAAACACCTTCACAGAGACACCTAGAAATAATATTTAACCAAATATCTAGGTACCCCATGACCCAGTAAAGTTGACACACAAAATTAACTATCACAAGTCCAGCCCTTGTCAACTTGGCACCCATACACATCTCCTTAAACCATACTCTCCACTTAAAGACAATAACAAGGTTACAGTTTTACTTAACATGATACAAGTATCATGCATTCAACTGAAAACACACTAACCCCTTCCACAGAAGAATAGGTATTCTTAAGTGAGTTTACTTTTCTCCTTGCTATTTTGTTAAAAACGATTTAAATACTATGATATAAAATTAACAATACTTAAATACTATGATGTAAAGTCAATACACCTTATATTACATGATAAGGGAATAAGAGAAGGAAGAAAACAAAGATATTTGAGATACACACATACAATTGCATTCATAACAAAATAAGAAGGAAACACCCATAACATTAACAGACCTTGTTTCCGTAACTGGTCATATGGTCATAGCTGGTATTTATAACTACTTTCTCCCACCATCCATTCTGTACTCCCTTTGCCTTTAGCAAACACCTCAGCTGGTACTGGTTTTTTACCTGATGTGGTGACCCAAATCTTCAGTTCTGAAGAGTCTGGGTCATTAATAGTCCTGCCTGAATTGCATTGTTGTGGTTTTCCATTGACCTAATCACTAGGCATGGTAACACTAAGAGATGCCCTAAGGCACTTCCTGTATTCTTAACATACTCTTTATTTCCTCCATTGCAGAGTAGTAATAGTCCAATTTACACTTAATAGTCTAAAAGTCTATTATACCAGTTTACACTCCCATTTCCACCCCTTGATTTCCACCCAGGACTCAAGGGGTGGAAATGGAAGTGGCAGCACTCACCATTACCCTTAGTTACCCACTAACAAAATTGCACTATGAAATCTAATATACACTTCGTAATCTGGATCAGTTATCCAAGCCAACATTGCACCTGCCTCTTGTCCTACTGATTCAGAGATATGAGGATTCCAAAGTGACTAGATGGCAGTCTTAACTTCCAGTTCAGTGGAATCATTGTTGTGTCTCCTGGTGGAAGCATTCCTCTCTCTGGGACTAACACCTCTAGGCTAGCAAAGCACAAGGTTGCAGGAACAGGAAGAAAACATTTTGTTAGTGGGTCACTTAGGGTAATGGTGAGTGGTACCACTCCCATTTCCACCCCTTCATTTCTGGACCTGTGAATCCTAACAGAGAATCAGCATCACCTATTGGACACTGATTCAGAGCATATACAGCTTTGGGGAAAACCTTGCCCCAGCCCTGAAAGGTATTGACACCTAACTGGCACTGTAACTGACACTTCAAAAGACCATGTCACCACTCTGTCATGCCAGCTGCTTCAGGATGATGGGGAACATGGTAACACCAGTAAATTCCACAAGCATGGGCCTATTGCAGCACTTCTCTTGCTGTGAAACGAGTTCCTTGATCAGGTGTAATGCTGTGTGGAATATCATGATGGTGGATAAGGCATTTTGTAAGTCCATGGATGGTACTTTTGGTGGAAGCGTAGCATGCAGGGAAGACAAATCTGTATCCAAAGTGTCTATTCCAGTAAGGACAAAACACTGCCTCTTCCATCATAGAAGCACTCCAATGTAATCAACCTGATACCAGGTTGATGGCTCATCACCCCAGAGAAGGTGCTATATCAGGTGCTGAGTGTTGGTCTCTGCTGTTAGCAGATTGGGTAGTCAGGAATGGCAGTAGGCAGGTCAGCCTTGGTGAGTGAAAGTCCATATTGCTGAGCCATGTAACCTCCATCCCTGCCACCATGGCCACTTTGTTCATGAGCCCATTGGGCAGTAACTGGAGTGGGTGGGAAAAGAGGCTGACTGGTAATCAAAAACAGGTCATTCTGTCTGTTTGATTATTAAAATCCTTCTCTTCTATAGTGCTATTTTCTGAATGTGTGCCCCTGTCCCCAAGGGGATGATATTAGGAGGTGAGATCTTTGGGGAGGTGGTTAAGCGGTAGAACCCTCATGAATGGGATTAGTGTCCTTACAATAAGGTTCCAGAGAGCTGCTTTGCCCCGTTCACCGTGAGAGGGCACAGCAAGAAAGCACTGTCTATAAAAGAGGCCCGCACCAGCACTAAAGCTCTTGGTACCTTGATCTTGGAACTCCAAGCCTCGAGAGCCATGAGAATAAATTTGTTGTTTAGAAGCTACCCAGTCCATGGTATTTTGTTAGAGCAGCCCCAAATGGAGTAAGACATGTGATCAAACATGAGTGAGCATTCACACAAGACACAAATATCTTCACACTTTTTTTTCCATTCAGAGAGGTCTTTCCACACACTTCTTTTCCAAATTTCCTTGTCACGAGGGCTCTCTTTACAAATGTATTTCTCACAGTGTTAGTGAAAGGTACATTTTCTATTCCTTCCCAGTGTGAGTGAGCAGAACTGTTCTAACCTTCCATTCTCCTTAAGCCTTTGAATCCTCCTCTCAACATTAAACCAAGACAGGTCCAGCATTTCCAATTTACTCACTGTGGGCCACCTTTTCATCATGTTTTAGCAAACCAACCAACCAAATTGTTAGAATGTTTTCCAACTCCCTGAGCTGCAACATTAAAATCAGAATCTCTGCTTAGTAGGCCCCTATCAATAAATGTGACCAGATTCAACTTTATGTTTTTTCCAACATTAGTATTTGTTTCCACATGTGTTCCCTAGATTTCTAGCTGTATAAATTGGGAAATTTGAGTAGTTCTTTTGGAGTGTAGTACATGTCTTTGTGGGTCACACTTTGTACCTTACCTTTAGGGATCTGTTAGGGCTTGATTCCTATTATAGGTCTTAGAAGCAAAGACGGTGGGTCCAGAGGAGAATCAACATTGTCCTGTATAGTGGCCTGAGTTTCCTCAAGCAATGCAGTGTTGATCCCTTCAGACAGGATTGGAGAGGCCAATACCATGGGCAGTTGTAAGCTGCTTCCATTGGTTGCAGGGAGGCCTCCTCTCCTGGCAAAGAAGATGCATTGGAATTTAGGCACTCAGTATCCCTGG